AAAAAAAAAAAAAAAAAATCAATCTCAAATATTGAGATATGCTCAAAGCAAATCAGAGAAAGTAGACTAAAACAAAACATTCTTTCTGTGGGGAAAAGGAGAACAATTACTCACAAACCCTTATATTTCTCAAGAAAATTCCCCCTAGGCTAGGGAGGATTCAGCTAAGGCCCTAGGGGCTAGGGTGCAGGGCTTTCTGTAGATAATCACTAGAAATGTCATAAAGAGAATTACCATAGAAGAGTCAGCAAAAGAGGGCAGTTGACTATACTTGTTGACTGTATGGTCATCCACATCCCTTAACCAAGACTGCCTAGTACTTCATGGGAAAGAATGAAACCTGAAAACAGGAACAGCCACCTCACCCCTGATCCAATCTCCCAACCTCCTTACACTGATAAGGCCCTCAGTCTTTCCTCCAGCCTAATGGATGAAGTGGCTGGCTCCTGTCTCAGACCAGTGGAGAGTTACATTCTGGAACTTATTCCTCCAACCTTCTCAGAAACACCACTTCAGCAATTGTCTTGTGATTCCTGCATCATCTATTTCTCCCTCTCTACTGGATCATTCCCTCTAAAAAAAAGTTGAAAAAAGAAAACTACAAAACACTACTATAAGAAACCAAAAGTGACTTACAAAAATGGAAGAATATGCCATTTCCTTGATAGGAAGACTCAAAATTGTGAAAATATCAATATGCACAAAGCAATCCCAATCCAGATTCCAATGACAGTCTTCAAAAAAGATGGAAAAATCTATTACAAACTCTACGCGGAAAGGAAAGAGACCCATGATAAGCAAAGCACTGCTTAAGAAGAAGAATAAGGTTGGAAGCCTCTCACTCCCTGACTTCAAAACAGCCTGTTACGGTACAATGAAAGATACAGTGATACATTGATCAATGGAACAGAATCGAGAATCTGGAAATTAACCTGTCCACGTACAGCCAACTGATTTTCGACAAAGTGCCTAAATATATCACATGGGGAGGTGATAGTCTCTTCAACAGATGGTGTTTGCAGAACTGGAAAGCAATATGTAAACGCTTGAAACAAGACCTTTACCTCATGCCTTACACAAAAGCCAACTCAGCATGGATTAAAGACCTAAATGTGAATCCCAGAATTACGAAGGCCATCAATGAAAAAATCAGGACAAATGTGAGGGCACTAATTCAGGGAATACACAGACTACAAAACATTTTGAAAAATGCACAAACAAAAGTAGACAAAATAGATGAGTGGGACATATTAAAAATTAAAACCTT